CCTGATGGTATCACGTTAGTGACATTCAACAGGGTTTGGTCACGAAAAGCCGAAGCTGGCACAGGCGAAAACGGTGGTGACGTAGGGGCCGAAAGTGTTTCATTCACAGCCAGGTCGGAGTTGCATGAGCTTGTGACGGACAAAGTATGCGGGAATCGGATATCTCCATTCATATACGTGACGTATGTTGCAGCTATTACAGCCAGTATCTAAAATAAANCGGGAAATCATACTGATAAAAAATAGTCACGTACTATCAGCATTGTTATTATAATTACCAACGCTATTTCTATTTTCCATTTTCTATTTCTAAATTGCGCCGTTAAACTGAACATTCCAATCGCATCACTGCCAACCAGATCTACGTGTCCAGATTACTCACAAAGGCCAAGGTCGTATAAGTATGGAAAACAGGAAAATCCTGATATCAGTTTTCTTAAAACAACTTTTATACGGTAAATCGATAAGATGATAGAATAGCGCCGTGAATTCGTTCGAATTATGAACAGCTTTATTATCCTTCATAAATCAACCAGATGCCCTACCATCGTACACAGCTATACCCGCTCAGCTTTCACAGGGGCTGGATATTAGCATACCTTGAGTACCAACGAAATACTGATAACAGAAATGACCGGAATAATCACAAACTTACTTTTGAGGCAACACCTCTTCGCCTACTACAATGTATCCGAACACTGCGCCTGAAACGGGGCAACCGGGCACATTTTTTCAATCCGGATCCATTCGGGGAAGGTGATGGAGTCACCGATTTACCAATTCCCGTTGCGCGATAAACAGCCGACTCTAGGTCTTTAGAATTGACGAAACAGCACCAGTTCATGGCCGAAAGAAATTGAATTTCCAATTTGTTTAACTCGTACAAATCTATACCAAATACATCTGCCCAATCGGAATTATAAGCCCCGTGGTCACAGTCGACATCATACAGATATTTTGAAGCCAGCATTAAGGAGACAGTGAACAGATCGACAGCAGTCATTTCTTCTAACATGTACGGTGCAGACTCCGTATTGACAAATTTTTCAATAAAGATTAGTGCTGTAATCAAGGACACGGACGGGACTTGTTTGGTTCTAAAAGTTGAAATTTAAAAAAAGGGAAAAGAAGTGATGCACCTGGCAAAGATCGGACGAACGCAGAATACATGCGGAGAGACAGGAGTTATCATCGTTCAGTGGCTCGTAAAAATTTCCAGTCAAGAATCTGAGTGTTCTCTAACACCAGTATATTCAATACAATCCACAAACGTCCGCAGAAGCCATGAAAGACAAGCAAATCAATTTTTTCATTACACACCGGTGTGTGATAGACAGCAGACGAGGTGGAACCCCATAGTCACGAAGAACTGCTGTTCAGTGATGGTACCCGGCAACTAAAGCCCCGGGACTTGGAGTGGCGAATCACATAAGGCCCCACTAATTTAGGCGTGGTATAAAACCGGGTGACAGCAAGGCTGTCTACCATCAAAACCGGGTGGCGGTGGCGGGGCTCGAACCTCGGACCATAGGGTCCGAAGCACGCCGGTGACACTAAAGTGGAAAATGACGGTATACCGATTGATTCACCACTTTCCAGCTCCAGGTTCGTTCGTCATTTGGTTACCAATTCACGAAGAAAACAATGGGACTAAACATAAAGATGAGTGTGATATAAATAAAAAGATACAGAATGCGAGCAGATTAAAAACGGCGAACGAAAGTGTACAGGTAATGGCTATACAAACTGAAACTGAAACGAATGTATGGAATTTAAACGACAATGGTTACGACACCAACATGCTACCCAATATTCCTAACCAGAGTGATTTTACCAATCGGAAGACTTAACATACTCAACTGGTCGAAGTTCTTATACTCTCAAATCTGGTTATGGGTTGAACACCTTTGGACGTCTTTCCGCTACTAATTCCTTGAGTAAATAGTACACGCCAAGGAAACGCATAATTCACCCCACCCCCGATTTAATGAGATGGATAACAGAAGTGGTGAACCTCATAGTCACCTAGACCTGCTACTGAGTGGTGGAAACAGGCAATCTAAGCTCCGGGACTTGGAGTGGTGGACCATATAAGGCCCCACTAGGATAGGAGTGGTATTGAGCCGGACGACAGCAAAAATTCCTGGCACTTGTAATTCATTCCAACCACCACAAGTTATGGCAGTTCCAAAACCAATGAAAGGGAAGTTGACAACCTCCGGACTGAAACCCCTTCTCAAGAAGCGTAAGAACTACCTCGAACAATCCAATATATGCAATCAGCGATGGGCCAATTTGGGAATCTTGGACGTGAAGACCTCACCCGAGGAGAGTACAATCTGACGAGCCGGGCAGAGACTGTTAATGGGTCACAGCCTTCACACCCTACCCTGCTATCCTATGGCTTAGAGTAACCTGTAGAAGGCTTGAGCTAAAAAAAAACTGATTTTCTGCTGTCTTGAACAAACGAGTATTGCAATAACCCACAGCATTGATTTAGCATAGAAATAAACACAGAAATATTTCNGGTATTAAAATCTCCGCGAAAATTGAACAGTTCATGTGTATCTGGGGCCTTGCGGATGTTCCCATGGCTAGATTATACATTATTATTATACATCTAGGCGATGGCACACATTAGGGATGGTGAAATCCGATGGTCACGAGAAGCTGCTATTCCGTGGAGGGACAATCGATCAAATGATCCGGGGGACTTTAAGTAGCAAACTATATGAAGCCCTAACAAAACAGACATCGTACTGACGGCTGCACGATTATCGTGTTTTGGCTTTACTGACCACCAGACTGCCCACTGCTAAAGTAGCGATCCCATTAGAAAACAATTGCGATCGTTCAGTTCATGCATTTACATGCGCCGATTTTAGTTGCCGTCTTCTGACCGCCTATTTAGATTAGAGAAAAATGAAGGAGATAGTCAGAGAGAAAATGGAGAATTCATTTAGGGTGGGGTTGCAAGAATATTGGGTTTGCGATACTCAGCCCTATCACGCATTGTCTCCAATCACCGGTTATCATGATCTCGGGGATTACTTGCTTTAATGGACGACCGCGAGCCCCTAGAATTCTGCATAGCTCAACCGGTTGCTCCATTAAATTCGTGCAATCCTGCGTAGACAGCGATGTTGGAACACTGACAATCTATTCCTATCCCGTTCCCTTAATGTGCAAATCTCCGCACTGAACGGCAGGACTAGCCTAACTGCTGCAGCATACGCTCGACACTTCACAGACAACCTGGCGTTGCGACGGTGCCACAGATGTCTTAACTTGACAAATGTCAATCGAGCCTCCTGTATGCATGCCGATACTTTATCTATGATGTGTCCGCCAGGTGAGATATAGCTGCGCAGATAGCAAAATTTGTCTACTCCTACTAATTTCCCAGTTAGAAGCCGGGGCCAACCCAGGCTTGTAGTAACATTTTACACGGGCCATTAGGCCCGTTACCACACAAGAATACCCAGAGTTGAATGTACCAAAACTACTGGACACCGGCTGGTTTGGATTTGGATATACAACGTCTAGGGCTCCAGGCCATACCAAAAAGACTGAGCGGTACTAGTAGCACCGATTGTAATTCTACTTCCGAGAATTTATATAAATAACTGTGATCTCCATGGAGTCGACTTGTGCTTTAGAGGGAGATAGATGTAGAAAAGCTATTTTCATATGAATATTGTTCGGTTTGCCCAAAAGTATTAATTGGAGCCACTCGAATCCTTCTTTTTTCTTCAAGTCGCAGCATTTCCCTACGCGCTACACTCTAGGGATGCTTAGTTCATGAAGCTCATGAAGACGATAATACCTCACTATGGGACCAGAAGGGTCACACACAGATGGTAAAAATAAATCATCACTCACCTCAAATATTCTGTCATCGTGTATGGATCCAGTTTTCCCAAGCGACGCTTCGTGGTCGAATTTACAACATTAAGAAGGCGTTCTGACCGGGGTATTGAAAGACGAAACAGGGGGAAATGTCAGCGAATCAATCAAAACACTAACCGATAAATTAGCTTTAAAAGGTAGAACCGACTTGATGTTCGCCCCTAATCTAAGGGATAATAATGCATATACGAATAAAAAAACCAACTCCGAATGTAGACTTACACCTCTTCAGTGGGATTGGCAAAACTCATTGCAGATTGAGGTCAGGCGAACTTTACTCGACCCAATCATGTGAACGGTTAAGGGCACTTCGATAAGTCAGCGTTAGCAACACGAGTTATTGATAAGCCGGTGATCGGAGCACGGGGAGTGAATTTACTCAATCCTCCCAGTGGATTTGAGAGTATATATGAATATGACGATCCTCTAAGTCAAGTCAGTTGATTTTAAAGCGGGTGTGAAGATTTGGAGGTGAATTTACCGTTTTGAGGAAGACAGAGACTATAAACAGGGGCAAGGTTGTGTCCAGCGAAGAAAGACCACTGAAAACTTGGACTGGCTTTTGCTGAGAACAGTGAAGATCAATCGTCTCTCTTCTGAACCATAGCTTTAAAAGCCGTGCCGCTAAACTGATTTAGAGGTGTCGATGGCAGCTGTAATCAACAAAATTCAAACACATCATCGTAAACGTCATCGTACTGCGAAATACAGTAAGGCGAACTTCACTGTTCGCTTCCAAACTCGCCATGCATACAAGGTTAGTGGTAATAAGAAAGGTGGACAGGGATTAGACCTATTTTGATGGAGAGAGGTGAATCTCTATGGTCAGCACGCAGAATTCACAACCTAACAGTGCAAACATACATTTTCAAGCATTCTGGTCTGATGAGGAAATGACAAGGACGCCACTATTGTCAGTTCGCTGCCATATCCTTCAATGTCTACAACCAACCAGTTACAGTCTTTCGGGCCCCAACCTGGAAGCCGAACAAAAGCCGAACGACGCTGGGGACGTGACTTGGTTCCTCATTCCCAAGTCTCTTCATGGATCGTCTTATAAAATTTCATTGCGTTCATGAGTTCCCAGAAAGCGAAGCACCCTGCGCTCTCCCAGTGGCTGGCGCCCGCTTCAATATCCACCTGACTGCTAGCCGGAGGACTAGTCCTACAGGCAAATTCAAAGTCACTCTCTTGAAACTACCTGAGAAAAGGCAGGTTTTACTGGACGCACCGTTTCCAACATAACCGCAACTTCTTTCGAAGATTCAACTATCGACGCACAGTGGTCCACGCTGAAGACGTCCATCAGAGAAGCGATGCTGGGGCAGTTAGGTGAGGCTCTTCGCCAGAAGAAAAACTCGATCGTCGAACGTACATTGCAGTTGTCCACAAAGGCAAGAGGTACGGTTGATCGATTCTCCTGAATTCCCTGTTCTACGTTGCCCAGCAACACGCTCCGCCAAGACGGACTGTAAAAAATACTGGAGGCGATTGCAGACAGTATGGAAGCTGCAACCGTCGCAGCAGACTTTGGAAAGCTATTTCGTTTAATCCGTGTTGCAGCAGGAAACAGACAGACATTGGAGCCACTGTTGAGCAAAACCAACGGTCAACTTATTCATGAAAATGAACAGAAAATGCAAAGGTGGATCGAACATTTAGACGGGCTGTGCAACCGCCAATCAAACCAACATGATTCTCCACAGGTATCAAACAGTTTGGAGACATACGACATCCCAAACTTTGTTTAACTCTTTGTCTTCCGTTCCCAACCCTCTCCCTTTACCCCTTCTACCCACCTGTAATAATCCCTCAAGCAACTTGGATGTCGCTCGCCAAAGGTGTTAGGTAAAAAGACAATTTTTACCTAAAACTGCCTATTTTTTGAGTATTTTCAATTAGAGGAATATCGAATCAATACTAATCTCGCGGAGATTAATCAATNACGTCGATTTCAATTCCACTGGACGTACTGACCGACACGTTCGCTCTTCCAGTACCCAAGCCAGCCGAACCACTGGAACCCAACCTGAGAGCAAGACGCTGGACCGACGGAGTTCGACGCTCTGTACGACCCTTCCAAGTGGAACCAAAGGCAAAACGCTATCAATGAACTTTGTTGAAGAAGACAATTTTTACCTAAAACTGCCTATTTTTTGAGTATTTTCAATTAGAGGAATATCGAATCAATACTAATCTCGCGGAGATTAATCAATAGTATTGCGTCATACGGAAATACTCACTCTGTCCGTCCGATCCGT